TGTCGCCTGACCTACTTTCAATCCTCAAATGTTTCCAGGAAAGCTTCAGATCAGATTATATTGGTTAGAGCACTCACCTCGCAAGGAATCTCAAAACGTTTATCAAGATTTTACTGTAGAGTATAGTGATTGTGTCACCCACAGAGGTAAGTGCTACCATCCGAGCTAGACTGACACCTAAAGTAACCAAAAATGGGGAGCTGACGGACAGCTGATAGGGAGAGCTAATAATAATAATAATCCTTGCATTTGATATAGTGCTTAGTTATTCTGGCCCCAGTGTTTCAATCCTCCTTGGACCAGAGGACAAGAGAGTTGCAAATGCTACTCCCCTGAATAAGAAGGGGCAGAAAAATAAACCCGGGAACTACAGGCCCGTCAGCCTAATGTCAGTCGTGGGGAAACTTCGAGAGACTATAATACAGGACAAAATACATTTTCACTTAGGAAAATGTGGGTTGGTAAAGGACAGCCAACACGGCAAATCATGTGTAACAAACCTGATAAGAGTGTTTTGATGAAGTAACGTAGGATGAAGGTGGTGCAGTTGATGTAGTTTATATGTATTTTCAAAAGGCGTTTGATAAAGTGCCACATAAGAGACTTGTAAGCAAAATAGAAGCCCACAGTATTAAAGGGACAGTGGCAGCATGGATACAGAACTGGCTGGGAGACAGAAAGCAGAGAGTGGTGGTTAGCGGTTATTTTTCTGACCGGAAGGAATTGTGCAGTGTTGTCTTCCAGGGTCAGTGTTGGGACCACTGCTGTTTTTGATCTACATAAATGATCTGGACTTGGGTGTAGGGAGCACAATTTCCAAGTTTGCAGATGATATTAAGCTAGGAAAAGTAGTAACCAGTGAGGAGGATAGTAGCAGACTGCAAATGGACATAGACAGACTGGTAAAATGGGCAGACACGTGGCAGATGAAGTTTAATGTGGATAAATTCGAAGTAATGCGTTTTGGGAGGAAGAATAAGGAGAAGCAATATAAGATGATGGTACAATCTTAAAGGGGTGAAGGAACAGAGAGACCTGGAGGTTCATATAAGTAAATCTTTGTAGGTGTCAGAACAGGTAGATAAAGCTGTTAAAAAAGCATACAGGGAGATATTGGCTTTATAAATAGGGGCATAGAAAACAAAAGTCAGGAAGGTATGATGAACCTTTATAAAACACTGGTTAGGCCTCAGCTGCTGTGTTCAGTTTTGGGCACCACACTTTAGGAAGGAAGTCAAGGTATTGGAGAGGGTGCAAAGGAGATTTACCAGGATGGTACCAGGAATGAGGGACTTCAGTTATCAAGAGATGCGAGAGAAGCTAGGATTATTCTCTCTGGAGCAGAGAAGGTTCAGAGGAGACTTAATAGAAGTTTTCAAAATTATGAGGGGATTCGATAGGATGAACAAGGAGAAACTATTTCCAATGGCCAATAACTCGAGGACACTGATTTAAAATAGTTGTTAAAAGAAACAGAGGGAAGGTGAGGAGAATTTTTTTCACGCAATGAGTTGTTCAGATCTGGAATGCATTGCCTGAAAGGGTGGTGGAAGCCGATTCGATAACAACCTTTAAGAGAGAAGTAGATAATTATTTGGGGAGGACAAGTTTGCAGGGCTATGGGGAGAGAGTGGGGGAGTGGGATTGATTTGGAAGCTTTTTTCAGAGAGCCAGCACAGACACGATGGGCCGAATGGCCTCCTTCTGTGCTGTATAATTCTATGATTTCTATGATTACGTCTTCGAGATGTCTCAAAGCACTTGATAGAATATACTGTAAAGTGAATTGACTGTGTGTTTTGTGGGCGAAATCATCCCCCGTATCGTCCCACGCCAGAGAAAAAACTGCAGCAAGTTAGTGAACATCAAGCCTGCTGTGTATACTGCAGAGAACATTTAAGGAGCTTTTGAGATCAAATTATTACATGGGAAATGCAGCAGCGATCACAGTAAGAGCAGGGCATGTCCTCATTAAAAAGAGGAATGAATAAAATATCAGAGAGCAATCTCCCAGTATTCCAGCTGATGATTTTTGTTGTTTCAAAGTGGAGTTTCCAGCAATTATTAGAGTCTAGACCCATGCGGAATGAGTGAAGGGTTATTAAGGGGGAATTGGAATCAGCCATTCTGCAGAGGAAGTGAAGGAAGAATTGAGGTTCATGAAAGATTCATGAAAGAGCACCCAGGTAGCGGTATAGCTTGAGTTGGGTCAAATTGAAGAGAGCATTTCATTGCTCTCGCGCTCTCTTTTTTGTGGTCAGCTGAGCGTCCAACAAATCACTATGCTTAAGAGTCTCCAAATCAGACAGTTTCTACATTGCATGCCACCAACGCAATGGAAATTCCTGTGTCTAGAATGGAAGGCGCACTCACTCTATCCCTGGAAGGATGCATCCTGTTTACCTTATTGGAGAGAGTATTAGGCATAGGTTGGCAAGTCCCAATGCTTGTGGATCCCATAGTGTGTGGGTTACTGCTGGGATTTAAACACCCATCTCTCTCTGCACATGATGAGTATGGAAGGAGCATGATTTTGTCCTTGACATATTCTGTTATCTACAGCTATTTCTCTCTCTCTCTCTATATATATAATTTTGGCTTCTGCCTTGTTTGCTGTCAGGTACTTCACAAAAGTTGAGTCAGAACATCTAAAATATGTAACGATGCCCTATTTTAGAATATCTTAAACTTATTTGAAATCTTTATTTTAGAAAAATCAGCCTGCTTCAGTGGTAGCACTCTAGCCTCTGTCTCTTGTACCCCTTCAAAGGTTGAGCCTTTGAATTCAGTCTACGCTGAGAATCTGTGCTGGGAGAAAGGTACTGTGTTGTTAGAGGTGCTGTCCTTCAGGTGAAACGTTAAACCAAGCTCTTGCCTGCCTGTTCAGGTGGCCTTTAAAGATTCCCAGATACTATTGGAAAAGAGAAGGGAGTGTCTCTCTCCCGGTGTCCTGGCCAACAATCTACCAGATAAAATTAATCATTCACTTCATGGCTGTTTGCAAACACCCTGCTTGTCGGCCTGCCCAACTCCTCCCTCCACAGGTTGCAGATAATCCAGAACTCTGCAGCCTGTGTCCTCTCCCGCACCAAACTCTGTGACCCCATTTCCCCCACTCTCGCCCGACTCCATTGGCTCCCTATCCTTCAGAAGATCCAATTCAAGATCCTGGTCCTCACCTACAAAGCCTTCCATGGCCTCGCCCCACCCTATTCCTGTGACCTCCTAACCCCCTACCAACCCCCTACCAACCCGCCTCCTTCAAGTCCTGCCTCAAACATCTCCTCTTCGACCATGCCATCAGTCACCCCCCTTCCCCTCCTCTCCCTTCTCCCTCCCTGACCCCAGCTCGGGTCTGAAATGCTGTACATTGTCCAGCACCTTGGGACGTCCTCCCGACGTGAAAGGCGCTATACAAATGTAATCTTGTTGTTGTTGTTTTGTGGGACATTGCTTTGTGCAAATTGGCTGCCTCATTCACTCACATGATTCACAGTTACTTGCCAGGGGGGCCACTTGTCACACGTATCAGTAATATAAGTTTGGCACTGAACACCCAGAGTTAATATAGGTTGTAACAACATATCTGCAGTTGTTCAGAATTTGTTTATTGTTTCTGAGGAGAAGGCTGAGATAGGGAACTCAGGCCATCCCATAATGCAGGGCGATCCTAACCTCCAGATCCCTGACTGTCCATCACCTTGGGTCATCCTCCTGACGTGAAAGGCGTTATACAAGTGTAATTTTTTGTGGTTGCTATGCAAAAGTATCCGCCATTGCTGTCTCCTACACAGAGGCAAAATTTTAACAGGTGAAGTTATTCTGAAAAGCAACTTGTTATGCTGTATTCTACAAGGCAACAATTACTTTGCCTTTGACATAGGAGAAAATGTTGAAGCACCTCACAGACCCAATAGGGATATTAATTATAATAATCCTTATATTTGATATAGCACCTATCACATTGGGAGGTTGTCCCAAAGCGCTTCACAGGTTTTACTGTAAAGTGTAGCGACTTTGTGGGCGAATGAGGCAGCCAATTTGCTCAATGTTCCACAAAGAAGTGAGTGATGATAATAATCATTCTTGCATTTGATATAGCGCTTTTCACGTCTTCTAGATGCCTCAAAGTGCTTCACAGAGTATACTGTAAAGTCTGTATGAAAAGTGAAAGCGCTCTTAGATGCCGTCCGGCGTGGCGGGCGCTATATAAATCCAAATTGTTGTTGTATATTTGTGGGCAAAATGCGACAGCCATTTGCACACAGCAGTGTTCCACAAACAGTCGTTGATTGAAGTGACCAATTTTATTATTGTTTTTATTCTTAAGGGATTATTATCAGGTTTGTTGAGTAAGGAAACTTACCCAAGGTTTCGCCCCGTCGGGAATCAAACCCAGATCTCTAACTTGCTTGAGGGCCTGATTTGAGGAAAGTGTAAATGAATAGTGAGTAGGACCCACATGTATTGTTTTCATGACTCATGTGCTCTCATACAGCATAATTTAGTACAGATAAGATATTAGGTTTTTGCTAAACCCTTTGTAACCTATTTAAATGTAATAAAAAATACTCAAATTTGAAAAGGAAACGTAAAAAACTAACATATACACTAGAACGTTTGAATTTCAACCAGGGGATTGTTGCCCAGGACATTGGGAGAAACTCCCTTCTCTTTTACAATAATTCCATGGGATCCTTAATGTCTCCCCGAAGAGAAAGATGGGGCCTCGATTTAATGTCTCATCTGAAGGACGACACCTTCGCCAATGCAGCACACCCCTAGCGTTGTATTGGTGTCAGAATAGGTGATATGAGTTCCACATATGGGGCTGGAACCCACAACCTTCTGACTCAGGAGTGAGAATGCTACCTCTGAGCCAGGCTGACACACAGAATTGGTAAACAGAGAGTAAATGGGAATTAATGCCCAAGGAAGGATGCTGCTGGCATTAATGGTGTGGCTTATTAATCCTTCTTCCTCTTTGTTTGGTTAGGAACCTTCTGGACATGGACACCTTCTCCAAATCTGATCCTGGTAAGTGCCACAATTCCTGTCACAACCATCGGTTCAAAGGTCACGTGCAGCTTCTTTTTGCAAGTGGTTTCTGGCAGACGATCGAAGGCATGGGCTACTTCTGTGCTGAAGGTGCCTTCGTTTCTATGACACTGACACTCCATATACAGTGCATCGCAAGGTGTTGTTTGCCATGCATAACATCCCCACCCACCTATATTTAGTACTTGTGTGTGATGGGCTGGTGTCAGTTAGTGGGCTGACCAGTTCCCATGCTAAGAAGAAAAAATGGTCAATTTTCCAGATCTTTGGATCACCACAACATCACTTCCTGCTTGCTGCATTGTGTAAAGTAGGATGTGCAGTTTGACAGAAATCTCATGATTCGGAAATCTGATTTTTTCGTTAAGATGATTGTCTTGTAGAATATTAGGTTAGTTGTGTTGCAAAGCAGGAAGTGATGTCTACAGTGACCAAATGACCCGGAAGTTGGCCATTTTTGCATGAAAAGCCAGTGGGTAGCGAGTGAGCAGACTGCACGCATAAGCAATGAAAACTGGTCATATGGAACACACTGTGTGTTACTGGGTATAACACTCTGATACATAAATAGCAACACATTGTGTGTTACTGGGTATTACATGCTGGTACATGTACAATAATCCTTACATTTGGTATTGCACCTTTCACGTGAGGAAGCCAACCCAAAACCAGATATACTGTAAAGTGATGTGACTGTGTGTGTTTTGTGGGCGAACATCTATGTACAATCACATATATAATATATTGCATAATAACACACTGCGTTAGTGGGTATAGCACTGTATGTTATACAATAACACACTGTGTTATTGGCTATAACACTATATTATATAATAACACATTTTGTGTTATTGGCTATAACACTGTATATTATATAATAACACACTGTGTGTTACTGGCTATAAAACTGTGATTTATGTAATAACAAATCGTGTGTTACTGGTTGTAACACTATATTATATCGGGTGACCAAAAAGTCATGATAACTATCCTATTATCTTAAAAAATATATCATAATTTCTTTAAGACGTATTAGACATTGTAATGGTATCACAACTTTTTGGTCACCCTGTATATTATACAGTAACACACCATGTGTTACTGGCTATAACATTGTGTATTATATAACAGCAAGCGTGTGTTACTGGTTATAACACTTTAGAATATAATAACACACTGCGTGTTATTGGGTGCAACAGTCATGTGAAGGTGGGGCATGAGTTATTCCTGACAGGACAATGGTTAAATCTGGGACAAGTTTTACAGCATAACCATGTGCAGAGTGAAGCAGTGCTGTTAATTAAGGAGCCACTTTGAGCTGAAGAAAAACGGCGTGATAGAAACAGAACTGTATTAGAAAATGAGCAGAGAGCCCAGCAGCATGAGGAGGGAACTGAGCGAGGTGGAACAGTGAGAATTCTGTTAAGGAATTTGTTGAGAGTGGGAATTCAGTGCAGAGGGGGAAAGAGTTGATAATTATAAAATATATAAAGTTATATTAAAATAATAAAAAACATGTCTGAGCATATGGCAGGGCAGCTGAGACCAGTTGCAGTTGCATGCACAATGTGTGCCATGTGGGACCTCCAGGATGCTTTGTGTGCCCTGGACAAATACGTGTGTAGCAAATGCCTCAAGCTGCTTGAGCTTGAGTTCAGGGTTTCTGAGCATGAGGAGAGGCTGGTGTCACTACATAGCATACAGGAGGGTGAAGAGTTCATGGATTGAATGTTTCAGGAGGTGGCCACCCCACAGCCACAGAGGGTTCAGAAGGAGAGTGAGTGGGTGACCACCAGGCATGGTAGGAAGAAGGGACGGGCAGTGCAGAACTCCCCTGAGAGTGTGGCACTCACAAACCGGTTCTCTATACTGAATAGCGGTGAGGGTGATGACACCTCTGGGGAGGGGAGTCAAAACCCAATGGATGCACAGGGGGACACAGGAAAAAGTGTCAATGCAATATAATCAAATAGAATATAGAAACTACAGAGGAGAACTGAAAAAGGAAATAAGAGGGGCAAAGAGATTGTATGAGAAACATAAAAGGGAACCCTAAAGTATTTTATAAGCATATAAAGAATAAAAGGTTAGTCAAAGGTAAGGTGGGTCCAGTTAGGGACCAAAGAGGAAATCTTCTTGTGGAGGCAGGGGGTATGGGTGATGTACTGAATGAGTACTTTGCATCTGTCTTCACAAAAGAGGAGGATGCAGCCAATGCCACAGTACCAGGGGAGAGAAATTGGATAAGAATAAACTGAGAGGAGGTACTAAAAAGGTTGTCAGTGCTCAAGGTACACAAGTCACCCAGTCTGGATGGGATGCATTCTAGGTTTCTGAGGGAAGTAAGGGTGGAAATAATGGAGTCTCTGGCACAATCTTTCAATCCTCCTTGGACACTGGAGGGTTGCAAATGTTTCTCTCCTGTACAAAAAGGAACAGAAAGATAAACCTGGGAAATACACGCCCGTCAACCTAACGTCAATAGTGGGGAATCTTCTAGAGACTATAATCTGGGACAAAATACATTTTCACTTAGAAAAATATGGGTTAATAAAGGGCAGCCAACACGGATTTGTTAAAGGCAAATCATGCGTAACAAATCTGATAGAGTTTTTTCATGAAGTAACGGAAAGGGTGGATGAAGATAGTGCAGTTGATGTCCTTTATATGGATTTTCAAAAGGCGTTTGATAAAGTGCCACATAAGAGACTTGTAAACAAAATAGAAGCCCACGGTATTAAAGGGAAAGTGGCAGCGGATACAGAACTGTCTGGGAGACAGAGAGAAGTGGTGAACGGTGTTTTTTCTGACTGGAGGGAATTGTGCAGTGGTGTCCCCCAGGGTCAGTATTGGGACTACTGCTGTTTTGATCTACATAAATGACCTGGACTTGGGTGTAAGGAGTACATTTCCCAAGTTTGCAGATGATACTAAGCTAGGAAAAGTAGTAAACAGTGTGGAGGATAGTAGCAAACTGTAAATGGACATGGACAGACTGGTAAAATGGGCAGACACGTGGCAGATGAAGTTTAATGTAGAGAAATGCAAAGTGATGCATTTGGGAAAACGAGGAGAGGCAATATAAGCTGATGGTACAATCTTAAAGGGGGTGAGGGAACAGAGAGACCTGGGGGTCCATATAAGTAAATATTTGAAGGTGTAAGGACAGGTAGATAAAGCTGTTAAAAAAGCATATGGGTTACAAGGCTATATAAATAGGGGCATAGTATACAGAAGTCAGGAGGTTATGATGATCCTTTATAAAACACTGGTTAGGCTTCAGCGAGAGACTGTGTTCAGTTCCGGGCCCCACACTTTAGGAAGGATGTCAAGGCATTGGAGAGAGAGCAAAGAAGATTTACCAGGATGGTACCAGGAATGAGAGAATTCAGTTATCAGGAGAGGCGAGAGAAGCTAGGATTATTCTCCTTGGAGCAGAGAAGGTTAAGAGACTTAATAGAAGTTTTCAAAATTATGAGTGGATTCGGTAGGGTGAACAAGGAGAAACTATTTCCACTGGCGGTTGGGTCGGAGGGCACCAATTTAAAATAGTTGTTAAAAGAAACAGAGGAGAGGTGCGGAGAAATATTTTCACACAGCGAGTTGTGCATTGCCTTTCGGGTGATGGAAGCGATAACAACTTTTAAGTGAGAAGTAGATAATTATTTGGGGAGAACAGGTTTGCAGGGCTATGGGGAGAGATTGGGGGAGTGGGATTGATTTGGATAGCTGTTTTCAAAGACACGATGGGCCGAATGACCTCCTTCTGTGCTGTATAATTCTATGATTCTATGAAAAGCACTCATAGGCTTTTAATATGGATTCTTCAAACAGCAAGCCAACACTCAAAACAAAAATATTTGTGATAAACATTTAAGTTCTGATGTTTCATGGGCTTTCATTATCCAATCCAAGACCTAAAATGACACCTAATCTCAGCCTGTAAGAGTCTTTAAACAGTAACCTATTTGCCTACAAAGACACAGTCAAACTAATATTCTGTGAAATACTTGAGGTGGTTCTTCCAAATGCAAGGCTTTAATTATACTGTCTTAAAATTGAAAACGGTGCAGACCAGTTGTTCATTTGGCTCTTCATCCGCAAGATAATTTCTAAGAACTGCAGAAAACTGACTTCCAAATAAGAACTGAAATCTCCACAATTCTTTGCAATCTTCAGTGTTTCACTTTCTATCTTAATGTGAATGCTGTTAATTAAGGGAGAACATGTTGTGATGGCTATGCAAGTTCACTGTGAAAATTCCACCTGTTAATTTAAGGCTGTAATGTACTGCTGCCGTTGCTCGTCTTCTTAAATGGAGCTGATCAGTGATAATAATAAAAAATCCTAGCATTTGATCTAGCACCTTATCACATGTTGAGCTGTCACAAAGCTCCGCAGAATATATTGTAAAGTGGATTGAATGTGTATTTTGTGGGCGAAATGTGGCAGCCAATTGCGCACACAATGTCCCACAAACGTGGATTGAGTGACCAAATTATTATTATTATTTTTGGAGGATTAATTACCCTGGGAAAACGATCTGCCGATATGCTACTCACTGATAGGTAAAACAGAAGGGTAAGGAAACCTGCCTAAAGCTTTGCCCGGCCTGGAAATTGAACAAGGGTTCTCTTGTTTGTGAGGCATGCGCGCTAACCACTACACTACAGGATTCCATGAGTACTTATACTTTCCATAATGTTGTACTTGTTGACTCCAGTGCCTGGACCCTCACATCCCCTGTGACTGACACCAAGTGTGATGATATTCACTACAGGAAACCTGAGATCTGAGCCACTGTCACACACGGAGGTGCACCATCTCCTGTTCCTAGCCCCTTTAAGAGCTGAATGCACAAGACAGATTTGGACTTCTTCCCATCTATAAACTCTTTACAGCTGTTGCTAAAGTGAGGGTGATGTTGCCTAGTGATGGAAAGGCAACCTCAAGAAGATTACAAATCTCTTCAATACCAAGCTTCCATCCTAATAATGCTGACAGCATCAGCATCCAAGGCTGCACTCTCCACCTCTCAAAGCCAGTCAGGAACCTTGGTGTTCTGTTCGACCCTGAGCCGTCCTTTCTCCCTCATATCTGCGCCGCAACTGGCACCGCCTTCCATCACCTCTGGAATATCACCAGACTACGGCACTACCTCACCCCTCACGCTGTTGAAACTCTGCTCCACGCCTTTATCACCTCAAGGCTGGACTATGGGAACTCTCTCCTCGCCGGCCTTCCCGGCACCTCCCTCCACAAGCTGCAGGTCATCCAGAACTCTGCAGCTCGTGTACTGTCCCGCACCAGGCTTCGGGACCACATCACTCCCACCCTCGCTCGCCTCCACTGGCTCTCCATCCCCCAGAGGATCGAATTCAGGATCCTCATCCTCACCTACAAGGCCATTCACGGCCTCGCTTCCTCCTACCTCTCTGATCTACTATCCCCCTATCTACCTGCCCGTACCCTCCGTTCCTCTGTCTCCGGTCCACTCCACATCCCCCGCCCCAACCGCCCTACCATCGGTGGCCGGGCCTTCAGCCTCTCAGCCTCTAGGCTCTGGAACTCTATCCCCCAGTGCCTTCGCCTTGCCTCCTCCCTTTCCTCCTTCAAGGCCGGTCTCAAGACCTTTTTCTTTGACCGTGCCTTCAGCTCCCCTCTCAACTCTCTACCCCCTCCTCGCTCCCTCCCTTCCCTCACCCTGACCATTACCCCCAGCTCGGGTCCTTACCCAACTGTACAGCGCCTTGGGACGTCTTCCCGACGTGAAAGGCGCTCTATAAATGGAATCTTGTTGTTGTTGTTGTAAAGTCAAAAATGGAAGCAGCGGGGGAAGTAAACAGTGAAGAGAATCGCACACCTAACTACAGTTATTGACGGGTTGCAGATAGCTTGAGATTTGGCTGGTCTGAATACCCAGCCTCTCTCCGTCACCGTTCACAAGGGACTTTCTCAGCCTGGGAACTGAAAAACTCCAACGGGTCCTAGGCACTGAAATCCTTCAAAACAATGTCTGTACTATTATTTGCCCTCAGTTACACCTTTCATAAGATCACAAGCTTGGTTTGGATAAAGAAAACCCTTTGGCGCATTTCATCCCTCCAGAACACCCACCCTGCCCTCCCTCCCAGCACAGCATCAAGTTAACTTTTTAAATTAGTGCAGGATCCTGGTATCAAACACCTCACCTTTTAGTTACCCAACAAAATAATCATAGATATAACAAACTAGCGTAGATTTATGTCACAAGTCAAGAAATATTCAATCAAGAAACATTTATTTTGTTGGCCAGCCAAAGAGGATGACAACCACTGTTCTACTGGTTTCGAATATCTTAAAGTGTTGATCTGGGTTTACTTTTCCAATCCCATTTAAAATGTTATACAACTCAATGAGGTCCCCTCTGAGACATTTGCTCTCAAGACTGAAGAGCTCCAGCTTGTTTAGGCGTTACTCATAGCTCATTCCTCTAAGAATGCCTTTGTTGTGGTTGTAGTATTTGTGGTACTTGGGACATCCTCCTGACATGAAAGGCCCTATATAATGTAATTTTGTATTGTATTGTCTGTAATGCTACACCAGCTAATAAATCGAGAGCAGTTGTGGGGCCACAGATGGAGAGAGGACAGTAAAAAAAAAGGGCCAGTGAATGTTGAGAGACTGAGCTCAGAAATGTGTGATAACATGGAGAGTGTTTCAGCCACTTGCCCTCTGCACTCAGTGCCCAATGGCAGACCCTGAACCCAAATCATATACAGAGTTTGAGAAGTTGGATGTCAACTTCTTCAACCTAGTGGCTGAGCTCCAAGGATGGGCTCAGCAAAGCAACACTTTTGATGCAAGACTAGCTTCTCATTGGCTGAGCTTGCTGCCTTGATGGAGTTTGAAAAGATGAACACCTCGGAGCTGAGAAGCAATTGATGTTGCAAGAACCAACTTCCTCAGATGTCCAGCTGATGCTCCTCACCTGCTTTGAAACCAATACCTGCTTGGTACGATTCTGGCTTCTCATCTCCTGATTTTCTTAGCTGTCAGCCACCGGATGATCATTACACTCAGTACAGATCAAGCACTCCAGGATGCTAGTCTGCGTGAGGAGCGCTATATAAATGCAAGTTGTTGGTGCTGCTGTTGTTGTACAGAACACTGAGGATACAATATGACTGAGCAACAACGATAACAACATTACATTTGTATAGTGCTTTGCAAGTCGGGAGGACGTCCCAAGGCGCTGGACAGTCAGAGTACACATCTAATGTAAATTCCCCCGAACAAAACTCTTACTCTTAAAGCGCAACTTCCAGAATCCACCCCCCACCACCATTTGTCTCACAGGCTACGATTAGGTAGAACTTTTCCCAAATAGCTATAGTATTTAGAATTGTGGCTGAGTTGTGACTGGTTTGTCAGGGTGTGTTTTACCCTCAGTGATCTTTCCTCTCATTTCATTTGGTAAAGAGAAAGTTCTATAGTACTGCTAGTTAAAAAAAACTTTGAAATCTATTTTTTGATTTATTTTAATTTTCTTTTAAAAATGCAGTCACTGAGGGGTAGGTTTAGCGTCCAGAACCATCAAGTGAAGTACCTGATTGTGTCCTCATCACAGATTATATTCCAACTGAGGAGTTTGTTCCCACTTACCTATCTCAGCCGTGCATCCTACTACACCAAGGCCTGTGCTTGAGAGTCAACATGAACATGTCCATTTACACCTCTGTACATTCCTCTGCTTTTCTGAACCACCCACTCCTACCCCCCACCCCCCAGACCACCACCCCTCTCTCCCTAACCCTCAGACCATCCGTGGCATCCCTCCTCCTATCTTTCTAAGTTTTGTGTGTTTTCTTTCCAGTGGTCGTCCTCTTTATCCAAGGGATTGGCAGCAAGGAATGGCGGGAGGTGAGTGACCAGCAATCAGCTTTACATGCATTACATTTGAATAGCTTTTAAGGCAGCAAAAAAAATTGGACTTGGTTTATGGGTCATCATCGTGTGTTAGACTGACTCAGTGGTAGCACTCTCTCTTCTGGGCCAGAAGGTTGTTGATTCGAGCCACACGTCAGGACTTGGAATCATATAGTCTAACCAGGAAGGTCCAATTTGTGGCCCATGGGCTGATTTAATCTGACCCCCCATCCGCATCAGATTATTAGTGGAAAAAACAGCGTAGGTTAAATACAGCCTCTATCTTAGGACTGTGAAGCTCTATTCAATATATTTTCAAGCCCACATCAGGACTTTCAACTCACAGACTGACACTCCAATACAGTGTTATGGGAGCTCTGGATTGTCGTAGATACCGTCCGTCAGATGAAACATTAAACTGAGATCCTGTCTGCCTTTTGAGATAGATGTTAAAGATTCCATGGCAATACCCGAAAAGAGAAAGGAGTTTGTGGTTTACATACTGCAATTCAGTGACATTCAATTTCATTAATTTGTGAGGTTTGGAAATATGAATTCATTAAATAATGGTTGTCAGTCTGTGCGCTGTAAGAGCCTGGCACATTCATTATTATCAATAATTCTGCGTGGCAGCTTAATGAAGTCCGTTATCTACAAAAATAACCCTGGCTTAAATCAATCATCTCATAATTCTCTTTCATGTGCCTGTGTTTAGCCACTTTGGTCCAAATGGGTAATGAACAACAATGTGGTCCCTTCCATACTGGATAAGGCTATGAGAGCACCCATCTGTTCTGTTTTCAGTACAAAGCTGGTCTTTCTGGTGGGATAGTTCTGTAGATAGATTCAGCGAGAACTGTGTTTAACTCTAGATCTAGTAACTCAGAAACTATATCTTACATCGGTGGTGGCCAACCTATGGCCCTAAATGGAAATTGGTGTGCAGATGTTTAAACGTTCAAGGCTTTTACAAGTGGTTTGGGGTTAGTTTTTCTGGGGAGAGTCTGCATTCAAATGTTGACCTTTTCTGTAGGTTCTTTCTCCACTGACAAGCCTGTGGTGGTCTGAGGACAGCTATGAAGGATCGCTCACGACAGTGAAGCAAAGATCACCCACATCTCCTCTTTGGACGATAGGCTATAGAATGGGCTTGATGGGCTGTTATGTCCAGGCTGCATTTTCCAGCCAGTATGGAGCTCCAGAGCTGATACACACTCGAGTGTCTTTCTGTTTTATTTGCAGTGTATAAGTTACAGTAAAGTTGTCTCCTGCCTGATCCGCCCTACCATCGGTGGCCGGGCTTTCAGCCTCTCTGCCCCCACACTCTGGAACTCCATCCCACGGTCCCTTCACCTCACTTCCTCCCTCGCATTCTTCAAGGACAGTCACAAGACCCTTCTCTTCGACTGTGCCTTTGGTCTCCCTCCCACCTCTCTGCCTTCCCTCACCCCTACATCACCCCTCCCCAAGCTCAGGTCCCGACAGCTGACTGTTCAAAATGTAATTTTGTTGTTGTTGTCTAACCAGGGATTTTGCAAAATCCATGTAATTTTCAGTAAAATTGTGAAACCATGAAATCACTGCAATTAGGAGTCAAAAAGTGACATTTCATTCACTGATGAGTCAAAGGTTCATTTATTAAAATAAGTGAGGTTTCTATGATACCGGAACTTACCTTTTCGTTTTGCTTTGAATCATTCACAACTCTGCTCACCATTCAAAAATAAATTCCTCCCCTTATATTGCTATGTTTGCTTGTGTTGGCCTAACATCTTGATCACCACCAATAGAAGTGATTTATACACTGGATAGTGAGCTTGCTGGTTATGCGCCAGAAGAAGGACCAGCTGAAAAACACTCCACCTCAAGTAAAACCGTCACAGAAGCTTCGATCCCACCACTGAGTGACAGTGATGGGGCTACACACACTGCCGAACCCATTCCTTGATCAGCTGGCACTTCTGCAACACAACCCAGTTCAATTGAGGTCACGACACACCCACTACCAGTGCTTCTGTTTCTCCAGTCTCCAATGCCCCAGATCCACGCAGCTTAGCCCTGTAGTCTCCATGCTCTCGACGATAGAGATGTCCAGTAATCCTCTGTACAGGCTCCTATTTCACAGGCCCTGGAGATCGCATGACCCAGATCAGAAAGCAAAGCGCTGCTGCACAAATGGCACAAGTAGCCCAGGCAGGGAGGATGGTAAAGCTGAGTTGGCTGGATCTCCAAGTGCTACACCTAGAGACAACGTGGCTCTCCCCATCCTAGCAGTGTACAGGGGTAGAGGGGATCCCAGGAACATTTAGACAAGATAGCAGTGAAGGCCGGCATCCTGAGGGGTCACTATTCCAGGAACCAATTTGACCTCTGCCCCCCGTGAATACTGCAGACAGCTCTGGTCACTGTGACGTAGCGGGTGCCCAGGCCACAGAGATGGTGCAGAGGCTGATCCCCAGTGTTAGAGAAATGAGCAATAATTAAACAAGCTCAGCTTCTTCAATCTTGTGAGTAGACAACTTAGAGGGACCTCACAGAGGTCTATAACAATTTAAATGGGATTGAAAAAGTAAATCCTGATCAATACTTTAGGATGCACCGAGACAATAAAACAGAGGATACAGGTTTAGAATTGCAAAGGACAATTTCTGGATGGCCACCAGGGAGTTTTTCAATATGCAGAGGGTAATTAACGACTGGAACAGGGTTGCCAGGAAGAATGGCTAAGGGCATGACAATGGACTCATTTAAAAACCATCTTGATGCTGTGATGGAGTGAATGTTCTCATTGGATGAAATCAGATGGGCTGAAGGGCCTTCTTTTACCAAACCAATGTTCTGATCTTGTAATGGAATGAATTACCACACAAGAATATTGAACTTTGTTATTGTAATTTAGATCAGAGTATTACAAATCTGCAGTGTGCTTTAATATTTCCCATGTTTTTAAGGGAAGGTGTCTCTCTCCAGGAGGATTTATCTTCAATTTAACATTAGAATTATGGACAGTTGCCACTCAACAACCTGCATTTGGTTCATTTGTCATGGAAGCAATGTGGTGGCAAGGTACTATGCGAGAGGTATGAGATGTAAAGACAGAGAAATGAAACATAAAGAGAGAGAAGAGACATAATGAGAAAGAGGTATTGGAGACAAAGAGACAGAGAGAGTTGTAAGACGTACAATAGGAGACATTGACACCAAATTCCATGGCTCCGAATTCTCCTACAAATAATTTTTGATTCAAATCAATTCATCTAATTGATTTGTTGTCCCAGCAGGGAACCACCTGTCTCCGTTAGGTCAGTCCTGTCTGAACTCTGCAATTCTTGTCCTCTCAGCAACAAGCTCCATGAACCAATCACCCCCATCCTCGCCCGGTTTCATTGGTCCCTCTTTCCCTGGACGATCAAGTTTAAAATTCTTGTACTCACCCTTTAAAGCCCTCTGTCCTACCTCTGGGACTTTCTAAAATGCTACCAATGTATCCGCTCCCTCTGCTGGTCTGCTCCATGTCCCCTGCCCTGCCTGCTCCACCATTGGAGGTCAGGCCTTTAGCCTTTCTGCCCCCATCCTCTGGAACTCCATCCTTTGCACCTTCCCTCGTGCATAGGTTTGTCACCTCCCGCCTAGATTACTCAACTGCACTCCTCGCCTGTCTCCCCAGCTCCACTATTCAAAAGATCCAGCTCATTCAGAACTCTGCTGCCCGTATACTGATCCAGACCAAACTCTGTATCAACATATCACCAGTTCTGGCCAGGCTCCGCTGGCTCCCCATCCGAACAGATCAATTTCAAGATCCTCACTCTCATGTTCAAATCTACTCACTCCCTGGTACCTCCCTTCCTCTCCGACTTCATCACTCCCCAATCCATCACCCGGTGCCTCCACTTGACTGGCACTGGCCCGTCCCTCTCAACCTCAGCCCACCATCGGAGGTCGCACTTTCAGCCACTATGTCCCAAAACCCTGGAACACTCACCCTCAGTCTCTCCACCTTGCCCCCTCTCTCCCCTTTTTCAAGTCCAACCTGAAAACCTTCCTCTTTGACCGTGCTTACGGTCACCTCCCCTCCCTATATGAATCCAATTTGCTGTTGTTCTTGCTGTTTTGCTTAAAAGTCATTGTTAACTAATGGGCACTTCATAGAATCATAGAAATATTCAACACAGAAGGAGGTCATTTGGCCCACCATGTCTGTGCTGGCTCTTTGAAAGAGCTGTCCAACTTAATCCCACTCCCCCGCGCTCTCCCCTTAGATCTGCAAATTTGTCCTCCCCAAATATTTATCTACTTTGTTCTTGAAAGTTGTTATCAAATTGGTTTCCACCACCCTTACAAGCAAAGAATTCCAGACTAAACAACTCGCTGTGTGAAAAAAAAATTCTCAACTCCACTCTGGTTCTTTGGCAACTATTTTAAATCTGTGTCCTCTGGTTACCGACCCACCCACCAGTGGAAACAGTTTCTCCCTGTTCACCCCTCATAATTTTGAACACCTCTATTAAATCTCCCCTTAACCTTCTCTGCTCCAAGGAGAATAATCCTAGCTTCTCCAGCCTCTCCTGATAACTGAAGTCCCTCATTCCTGGTACCATCCTGGTAAATCTCCTTTGCACCCTCTCCAAGGCCTTGACATCCTTCCTAAAGTGTGATGCCCAGAACTAATACATATTACTTCAGGGCATTATTGTTCATTGTGTTTACTCAGCCAAATACACCCAGATTGCTTTCCTGAATGTATATACAGATTTTTAAGCAGTACAATTATACAGTAAGCTCTCCTTTACTTCCGACAAGCATTAGGATGTAAATAGAATGAAATGAGATATAACAAGATATAAGTCCTGTATTCTGTAGCTCATTGGTTAGAGTGCTTGCCTTGCAAGCAAGAGACGTGGGTTCGATTCCCACCAGGGTGCGACATTGGGCAAGTTTCTTTACTCCATACTCCTCTGTTTATCTAGCAGAAAGTAGGAATCCGGTTGTTA